AGTCGACCCCCTTAATCTTAATTAGATTCTAATAACCTTTACAAAGACTAAATTGCCCATACTTAAGTGTGGGGCAGAGTACTCTAATAAAACTGCCACATAAGCAAACTACTTAACACACATAAGATGACTAAACTACCCCTATTCGGCTCACTTTAACACCCCTGATTAGTGATGGGACACCCAGACTGATTAAAACACTAAACAGACTTAGGCTCAATAATAAGGCCCAATACCAAACAGTTTAAAGCCCAATACTAACATGTACACTTATTAGCCGGACCAACAATACATAAAATCAGTCAACTTAACAAAGCGCTTAATAGGGGGAGCAACAACGCTGCTTCCCACACTGGATGCCGATCTGGAATTGTTGCTCGTCTGTGGGTTCTGTTCTTGGCTGGTTGCTGAAGATGGAGCCATTCCGAGTGGGTTCGGGGTTACCCATGTTGTTTGAGGCCGCCCTATACTGATACTTCTGCTGTTGAGTTGCAATTTGCGTTCAAAGGCGCGGGCCAAATTCATAGCAGTAACCAGATTGGGGGGATTTTGCATCTCCACATCCACCCTCAAAGTTTCTGCTAACCCTGCGGTGAACATGTCAACCTGTTGGTCTGGTCGTACCGAAGATGCTCTTGTGAGGAGGGTCTGAAACTGGCGCTGATACTCAGCCACAGTTCCAGTCTGTTTGAGGTTGATTAGTTCGCCAATGGATTGCTTGTTAATGGGGGCCCGAACCTGAGAAGGCAGTAGGATTTGATTTGGGTCCAACTGAGCCTAGGTTCCTCCTGCTCCAATATATAGAACCAGAGCTGCGCCTCCTCTGTCATGTGGAATGCGGCTAAGCCTACCTTGTCCCTATCCTCTGTTCATTGGTTGCAGAAGAACTGCTCACATCTGTATAGCCATCCCAAAGGATCTCCAGTTCCATTATAGGAAGGAAATTCCAGCCTGCTGTATTTGGGAACGACCGCAACCCCCTGGGCAACGACCTGCTGCTCGCCGGACGATTCTGCCGCATCTGGTCGGCGGACGTCTGTGGTTGCAGCCCCTTCTGAACTCTTTTCCTTGCTGGAAAAATATAATTCCATCAGGCGCCCCAATTCTCGGACGTCGTCCTTGATCTCGCGCACCTCCTTGCTGTTTTCCACGAGTTTGTGCTCCAGATCATGAACACT